AGCTATAACAATACTAAGGATTTATTTTGGGACAAGTATGATCTTGTGGGAGGGAAAAATGAAGCAAGAAAGACATTCCACAGAGAGTGAAAACAAAATCCAAGTCATTTAGCTTTATGACTAAAGTCTCAAAGATGTACAAATGTAATGGTGAATTCAGGTCACCATTACAGTCACAACATTCAGACCATGTTTTCTTTCAAAACTTGTGGCATTTAAGGATGTTGCCAAGTAAAATCATGGATTATTATTTATCATGTCAGTATCAAGAAAAGGTGAAGAAACAGGAAAAAATGCTCACAGATCCCTTAGAATTATTTTTAATTATTTTTAAATAGGTAAGGACCTCGGTAGTGAAACCAAAAATAGCACTTGGTAAGAAACAAAACTAATTTGAGCCCCTTTAAAAAAAAAAAAAGCCACCAGTGTTCCCTGCTAGTAAAGAATGTAGCTATTCTGGTGCAGAATTTTTTACCTCGACTATACACAGGGAAACCTGCACTGTAATGTCCTATATAGGAGCAGATTCCTTCTTACAGCATTAGACTCCAGTTCTGTACCTTCTGTCCTGCTGATATAATGCCATTTGAAATATATGTGGCTAGCATATTTTCTGTGTGAACACAGTGAAATTAAGTATTTAAAAATATGTTGCACCTCACTTTTCCCATGTACCTTTAAAAATTTTCCCATGCTCATAAAAATTAAAATACTGGTTTGCCCAATTTTTTATTCTGCATTTGTTTAGTGTAAAGCACTTCATGGGAACAGTACTTTAAATGAATCTTTTTGCATGAAAATACTATTATTAAAATATTTCAATCAATTGAATAGATTTACAAAACCCAATTTACATTTATAAAGCCTGCTATGGAATTCATTGCACTTTGAAAAATGGGCAGGAAACAAATCTCACAGGAGAGAGGGCAAGAATAAGTTTGTCATCATTCTCCTCCTAGAGTTCTCTTCCTTCCCCCTTCCCTATTACCATACTTTTCATTTAGGAACAAAACATTTGTTCTCCCAATTTCACCTACCCAAAAGTGAAGAAATATCTTACGGTTTTCTTGTACTTATTATTCTAGTTTATCTGAATTACTTCTTCATTATGGCACAATTAAAAATTTAATATCTCAAATTCAGTACATATGTCAGGTGTCCAACTGCAGCCCCCCGGCTACTAGAATAGGAAGGTTGCTCTTGTTAAATTCTCATCAAAACCAAGGATGATTCAGAAACTATGCCACTAGTGTTCATAGTCTCTCTCTTCCACCAACCAGACCTACAAAAAGTTTGAAATGGGTTCAGATAAGCATGGCTGGGCCATGAACTTTCAGCAGTTAAGTTTCAATGAACATCGTGGTCATGGCATATAAATTTTTGCTTCTGTGCAGCACAGAACTACCTCAGTCTTGGCACAGCTGAATATGTAAATTCAGCTGAGATTCACAGAATATTTCAGCCTGGTCCAAGCAGCAGTTTCTAAGTGTACTGAGCAAATATTCGTATTTTGACCTCCTTTGAAAGGAAAATTAATCCAGAATCAGAAGCGGACAACCAGGCACCTTCAACAGCTCCAGAGCAAGAGCACTCACCTTTCATATAGGAGGACTAGTTAAAAAACCCATACACCTCAAAGGTTCAAAGCCACATGTTCAACCTCTCAGGAAGTACCCTCAAAGAAATACTCTTCCTGTTCAACCTCTCTTAGTGCCAGAAACCAGTATGCACCCCACTCCTGTGCCCTCCCCAAACCTGTAACTCCACTTTATGGACTAAATATAAGGGCACTTCCCCCAAAAGCATACCTGTACTCTAGTCTCTGCTCCCAGTGCCTTTTAGAAAAGGGCCCACAAACACCAAAACAAAGGTTGAGTCCTGGGAAGTTTCGGAGAGAGAAATGTCCTCCCAATCATTATGCTAAACTGTTCTCCCCTTTTGCTCTTTCTTCGCTAAACCAGGCACAGGGTCCAAGAGAAATCACAGAGAACATGTCCAATCCAGCCTGCATTATGGTGATCAGGTCAACAGATTTTAATCCCCTTAAACTATGAAGGATATTTAAAACAGTAGCTATTATAGTCAAAGCAGGTACCGCTTCCAAATTGTTTGGTTTTTTGTTTGTTTTTTTTTTTTAATTTTTATATGAACTTTATTCCATCCTCCAAGAGAAGGTGCCTAAAGTCAGGGATGACCACAATCTCACAGACACCAAGATCATTCAGCTATAAGACCATAGAGCTCCCCTCCCTGTTTTGCTACTTTCTCAACCTGATAGTTTCCAAGGACACACTGTTTCTAAACCTGAGTATGTCTATAAGCAACAATGATTCCAGCAGAGAAGATACCAGAACTTCCTGTCCTGTAATTTCTGGGTATCCCCCTCCCCACCACAACCATCTCCAAATATCTCAGATAGAGCACATGGCTTTCGAGAACATCAGCAGAAAGAAAATGGCTATTCTTATGAGAGCAATCAAACTGCAGACAACTCTGAATTGCTGTAGTGAAATTGATGACAATACATTAAGCTCATCTATTTGTGCAGGGAGATCAAAACAGGACAGGGTAATATTGACTTAAACCTCTGCTAAACAAAACCCCATAGATACACTCTTTCAGTACATATGACATAAACCTAAACTGTACTTAACAAACTAAATTCAAAAATATTTAAGCCAAGCAAAAATGAGCCTTTCAAGCTCAACTACATACACATCTACATAGTACTCTGCAGTATTCTGCACTGATTTAACCTGCAGCCCATTTAACTCAGGAATGCAATGTAGCACGTTAGTAGGCGCGTACAGAGCAGCCTAATCTCACACAGAGTTACCAGCTCACATCAGATGCACTACAGACACATTAGCAGGGCACTGCATCTTTTATGAACTCTGCCACTCAGAGGCAGGTATAAATGTGTTGAGTTTCAGTATCACTTTGAGGCTGCTGTATTGCTTCCTGGTCAGGAGCTAGATCCCTTCCCTCCTCACAGCCTTCTAGTGAGGCGCACAGGCATATCATAAACTCATTTTGAAACCAACTTACAACAAGCCAGCTCAGCTTCTTTGGTAGGGTAAGGCCTTATGTATTTATCTGTGCATATTTTTGTACCCTTCAAGTTTTGTGTTTTGTCTTCCTTCTCACTACAAAACAACCAATGCCACGGTTCATAACAGATGCAAAGAATGGTTGTCATCTCAGACGGAGCTATCTGAGAAAAGGAGAAAAAAAAAAAAAATCAAGCTGGGGAAGACAAAGAAGGAAGGGAGACCGTTCTTTAAGTATCCTGTCAGTGCCCTGATAGGCAGCTATCTGCTCCTTTTACATTTTATTCCCTTCTCTGTGTCTTCATATCAAGCAGCCTCACTTTTTTTAAGTCTCTCTATGCCTTTTGGAATCACAACTTTCCTCTTCCTTAACCTCTAAGGAACACTACACAGAACACTCTAAAAAGATATGTTGTTTAAAATTGACACCAGGATTATTTCCATGTTTCTTCCTTGGCCTTGGGGACATTTCCGTGACTTTTATGCCTTCTTTAAAAATTATAATTTTTCTGCAGCCTATGCTTCACTTTAAGTCATAATCCTCTGTGATGACAATTGTATCCACAGCAATTAGCCATGATGCAACAAACAAGATCAACCACTTCTGGTGGAAAAAAAAGCATCACAAACCTTTCAAGCAGTCTTTTAATAATTTTAATTAATTTCTCAATAAAATGCCTGTTCACATTTCAAATTGGAAAAAATATCTCAAAAACCAATGCGCTTCAAGAGAAGATAACGTGATCTTCACCGATCACATTCTCAGGCATGGTCTTCACCGGTCACAACATTCTCAGGCCCTTCCAACTCCATATTTAAAGACTTATTAAACCCATCAACTTCACTACGAAAGGGTTTAAATCACACCTTTTTGGCTAAAGAGAGCTTAAGGGAAATGAAGATTTGCAGCACTTACTGGAATAAACCTATCCAAAATCATTTCACAGTCCTATGAAGAAAAAAAAAAAAAGAATAAAACTTCCATATAGGTGAACATACAAGACTCCACACCAGGTGCAAAAACGTATGTAACTTTACGTACTTTCAAACACAACGCACAGACAGATACAGTGGATACGAACACAATGAACATCATCACCGATGTCTGAAGTGCCAATTTATTAAACACACGCGTTTACTCTGCAGTGCCGCTGATTACAGGCGGTTTTCAGTAAGCGTGGTAGATGTGACACGCAGCCTTGCCTTCTACCAAAATTCTACACACGCAAAGCATCTCTGCATCAACATTCAGGGCAACAGCGCGTTGGGGTTTTGAAATATACTTAGCTGCCGCCAGTTAACCTGTCTGATCTCCTCACCGGCCCGACAACTGCATTTAAACGATGAATTTTTTATCACGATGCAGGTAAGTGAAGTTAAACCAGACAAATCGGGTTTTACACCAAAGGCTCTTCGGCTCCAGCAGCGACCGTCCCCGTCTCCCGGGCAGGCCAAACCCGCTCCCAGCCTCGTTCAGCCGCAGATCAAAACCACGATCGCGCCGCCAGAGACCGGCGACACCGGCAGCGCCGCGGCCCCTCAGCGCTCCCTCACAGCCGCCCCAGGGACGGACAACGCCGCCCGCCCCAAGCGC